TTTTTTTCCCTGTCTTTTCTTAAAATAATTAGTTACCTGACTTTATGGACCTATGAATTAAAACTATCAGAGTAATATAAATTTTAAATTTCTAGATAATAAACTTTTTTATCTTCTTGAAATTGTTTTGAAAAGTGCATAGTGATTGTTAAATGAACTTGACCTAATATTAACTTTACCAAGAATTCCATTTGTTTCAAAAATTCTGTCAAGTTGAAATGTTTTTTCTAAAAGTTAGAAATACGAAAATTCTAACGGCTAAATAAAAAATGGAGAAAGCTTGGATGGATGGATCTCTTATTTAACTTAAAAGACTAAACTCGACACTTTAAATCAAATTAAGAACCCTTCAAAACCGCCCTCCAAGCTTCGTTAAAAAGCATGGATTAACTAGAAATAGAAAGATGTATGAGCGCACAACGACGCAGCAAGTAAGATGGCGGAAAACTCCCGCGGTTGCTTCACCGTGAAAGGAGTGGGCTAATGGAAGTGTCTTCTCCACTTACTCCTAGCTCCATGTAATAAATATTCTATATTTATATAATATATCACCTAATTTAGCAAATCGTCACATATATATTATATATCTCCTAATTTAATTGATTGGTATCCGAACCAAAACAAGTACGAAACGATTTCAGTCGCATAAATACAATGAAGCCGTATAGCGTCACCAGATAATTAAGATTTTACAAGGAATTTTAAAGTGCTTCTAATAATTTAGCCAGACACTCTAATGATAAGCCACAGTTTCAAATTGTTCAGAAGAACATTTTGGAAAAATAAACATTCAAATTTTGATAGTGCCATATAGTGGAAAGTCTAGAAACTTTCAAAGTATCAATCTGAAAATACTATGGAACAGTTTATTAGAAAAATGGCATCTTTAATAAAGGTTCAATTATCATTATGTTGCCCCAAGTGCATCAATATCAAAAAATACTTTAATAGATAATTTTAAAGAGATGATTAAAATCTTCGCAGAATTAAAATAAATCTAGTACTCTAGCCTAACTTAAAAAAAAAAAAAATGAATAAAAAAATACTTTTTAATCTTTGAATTTAAAATTTCGAAGTATCTTCTGTAAACTACCTTTTCAGTAGTGTGATTACATACATATATGTCACATAAAATAAATGAATAAGTAAGTTAAACAACTTTTTTAAAATTATATAAATATTTAGTTTTAAATTGCAGTCATTTATGATTCCTTAAATTTTAAACCTAATTCTGCAATTCTGATTATTATACTAAAAAAACTGTCTTATAGAAAGTTTTTAATGATTTTAAGTATTCCAATAACATTAATATGCGAAATACGGAAACGGCAGTGAATCAGGTGATTTGGCATCAGGGCTCCTTTCGGTTTAGTTGTCGTAAGAAGAACGACACTACTGCCATCTTGTAGAAAACTTTGAAAACAATGTAGCAGTGGACATGAGCGGAACTTGCCTTCGCTGTAAAGGCCTTTTTACAAAAAATGACAGCAGAAGCGTGATAAAACTTCATCAAAATAATGCTGTTTTAAAAGTTCCTACCATCAAGGTCTAGGTACTAAACAACTTCAAGGCCTCTGGTTGCGCAGCTAGAAGAAAGCACCTTAATAGAAAGTTACCTCTGGTAAGTTTAAAATTTTATCCAAATTTTACATATAAGATATGATATCCTTTGAATTTTTTTACGCTGATTTTTATTTTTAAAAACAATAACAATATTACCATTCTGATGTGTAAGAAGTTTGCTAAAAAAGTCACCGTAACACAAGGGAAATGCTTCTGCCTCTTATGTTGACTAAATATTTTTTGTGTCAAAA